TATCAGTGATATATGATTCCAGCAACCGATTTAACACCGTTAGATTTTCTTGTGAGGTTATGTTAAGTCATTGGTTCATGCAGACAAGCCAAAAAGTCACGGGAGATCAGTGACAATATCGAACGCGAAATTGCCAACGTTCCGGCCGATATGTGTGAAAGAGTGGTGCAAAATTCTGTCTAAATCATTCATTGCAAACGATATCGAATTGCATAGTTAAATATTGATAAGTACTGCACCTGGAACAAATTTCAGCCCAATATGTCAGTTATTTTGTATTTATTTAAAAACAAAATTGTTATATCGAAGAGGAAAAGTTCGAGCTACTCTAATAACTACTCTAATAAACGCATTAAAAACATTTTTAACTATATCCTAACGATTACATAATAATAAAAAAAGTATAAGTACGAAGACTTTCACGACTAGTAGAAATTGAACTACAACTAGAACTTACACTTGCACTATCACTAGAACTAACACTACACCTACAACTAGAAACTTTCTGCTTAAGTCGTGCGTCTTTTGAAAAAGTATTTGACGTTTCGGATGCTACGTTGCAAACTTTTTCAGAAACAAGTTTGAAGTGAAAAGCTTAAAGTGAACCACTTCAGCCTTCGGACATATATTATCGGCGTTTATGAGGAAGAGTTTGACAACTTACGGATTATAGACAATGCAAGGTATTAAGCAGCTTGGCCTTCCTACGAACATACAGAGAGAAGAAAGTAACGTCAACCTTCCTCAATGTAAAGCACCATATCTACTCTGTTGCGGCCCGTAGGATCTTCATTAGGACACAACAAGCACTAATACGAGAAAGATTTCACAAGACCTTTAAAGATTCGCAGCAAATAAGTGAGAGGTTACCATGACTTCACCTCGCACATTCCAATTCTATGGCGAGAGAAGACTGGGACAAAATAAACAGAATAATCATGGAGAAGGTCGAACGCGAATTGCAAAGAAGTTGTGACAAGCAAATTAAGAAATTCGAGTCGTTGGATAGCCGCACCCACAAAAAGAAGAACAACGATTTGCCAATCGAAACGGTCGTCATCAAGTTATCAAACATCCCAGAAGGAAACTACAGTGCTCGCCAAAGGTTTGAATTACACAATTGCCATTCGTAGAATACCTGCAGTGAAAGCAGAAGAAATTTGACAAGATATAGCGAGAGTACTTCAAACAGCGAAGCCACCAAAATCAAACCTAACAATTAACGAAAGAAGGGCACGATAAAAGAAAAAACAGACATCATCGTTCTGCTAGCAGACAAAGGGAATGCAACCAATGTCATGAACAGGAACGAATAGAATGACAAGATGACGAGCCTTTTGGATCTAGCCACCTATAAGAAAATCAAGAAGGACCCAACCGAGAAGACAATAAGAAAAATGAAAGAATTGGTGAAATCTACCGAAATTCCAGCAGAACAACAGAGAAATTTGTTCGTACAGGGCTTAGTACCACCAGGAATATATCATCATCATCATCACTCAGCCCTGTGTCCACTGCTGGAAATAGACTCGCCCATTTCCTAACCATAAATGTTATTAAAAAATTGAGTAGCTGTTATGAAATTAATGGTATTATCCGTGTAATTGATGTATAGCATTTCCAAGAATGTTCTGTTATAAAAATGTTGTTACTGGGGACTAGGATACTTTCTTATTAGGATCAAAAATTGCCTTTGACACTTCTATCTTTACTTTCAATAACATTATGTACCATCAAACAGAGGGGACTCCTATAGGCTCCAAAATATCACCTGTTCTGGCCTTACTAGTTATGGACTATGCCATTGATGAAATATCATTGATCATTGATGAAATATTAAAAGATAATGATAAATCATTTAGAGTAAATTCTATTAAAAAGTATGTAGATGACTTGATTCTGGGTTGGGTTGGGTTCACAGGGTTGATACCTGAGCTATACTAGAATGCTTTAAGAAATTTCACCCAAGCATTAAGTTTACAATTGAAATTGAGACGAATAAGGAAATTCCTTTCTTAGGTACTAAGATCATTCGTAGTAACACAAATACCATTATGTTTGACAGGAAACCTACCTACTCTGGTAGATATCTAAACTTCAATTCAAACCACAACTTTGGCCATAAAATAGCAACAGTACAAATAATCAAACACAAAGTGATCCTTTGTTTCTAGTTAGAAATCTTAACTTCTTAAAAGAAATTTTTGTCAACAATGGTTACCCACCGAATTTAATTAGTAAATTATTGTTTTCATCAATTTCATCAAAGTAATCTACCTAAAAATAACATTTCAGACAATCAAGTCATTAAATATCGGAACATTCCTTTCGTAAACAATCTAAGTGGAAAAATTACAAAGGTGTTCATTGGTTTCAATAACATAAAAACTGTAGACTGTTATGAAAACAAAATATAGAAATTATTTACAAGGGTAAAAGACACCACCGAACACCAGCTACAATCAGGTGTGGCCTACTGCGTCTTCCTTGTGGTCAATGTGAGGGTCAATATGTAGGCCAAACTAGTCAATGGTTGAAAAGTAGAGTGTCTAAACATAAGAACGACTGCAGACTCCTTAAGTCTACCTGTACCCTTTCACAGCATTCAACTGATACAGGACATAAGTTTAATTTCGGAAACGTCAAAATTTTAGATACAGAACAAAATTTTTATAACAGAACATTTTTGGAAATGCTATACATCAATTACACGGATAATACCATTAATTTCAAAACAGATACTCAATTTTTGAGTAACATTTTTGCTTATGTGATAGATAATGATAAAAGTAAAAATAATAATAATTCCCCTATTTCCGCCCAGTTCTTTCTGTCCGGTGCTGCCTGATTCCAGTAATTAGCAAATCTCTTAATGTCATCCATCCATCGAGTTGGTAGCATCCCTCTACTCCGTTTGTCAGCTCGAGATCTCCATTCCAACAGCCTTTTCGTCCACCTTTCATTTGTCCTTCGGGTTACGTGTCCAGCCCAATTCCATTTGAGTCTGGCGATGCGAGAAATGACGCATCCTAAATATTATCTAAAATCCATAAACCTGAAGTCCCGCCATAAATTCTCCGACGCATCAGCAGGCGAAACACCTTGCCAAGATTGTGTTTCCTTATACAGGTAAAATAGAATCTATGCATTTTGTGGAATCAATCAGAAGAATGAAGTTAGATCTCCAAGATATCCTGGTAAGTTTAGATGTGGAATCTCTATTTACCAGGGTACCAAAGTCAAAGATGCCGTGGATGGTCTTCGCTAGAAACTCATCCCGGAGCGCTTACCGAAGTATATTCCAGGGCAAGTGAAGTACTGCCTATAATCAACATATTTTAGTTGGAAGGGAAATTCAATGAGCAATGCGAAGGGGCCCATGGAACCATGGTTTTGGTTCAACCATTGTCAGTATAATCGCTAATTTGTACATGGAGATGTTTGAAGAAGAAGCGTTAAAGAAGGGTCTATGGAAACTAAAGAAGCTGCAAAACAATTACCTTTCCTGAACAAGTATCTACGGGGTTCATTCCATCACCACCCACAACAGAAGACGTCAGTGATCCAAGCCTTCTTCCAACGATTAGAAAGGCTATGTGCAAAAACGATGTAAAGAAAGTTGAGGGATTTCTACAAGATAACTTGTTTCTGAAGAAGGTAAGGAAGACATGGCATCCGAAATGACAAACACTTTATAAAAGACGCACGGCTTAAGCGGAAAGTGTCTAGTTTTAGGTCTAGTGTTAGTTCTAGTGATAGTGCTGGTGTTAGTTCTAGTTTTAGTCCAATAAAAACAGTGTTTTTCAGAAAATCGAAAATTATGTCATGCCTTAATTACTTAAATTCTCTAACTAAGCTTGTTTATTAGAAGGAATGGTTGGCGAATAGATTAGCACTACACAAGTGAAATCATGTAACTAAGCATTTGAGTAACCGGCTTTATCTTGAAAACTATTAGAGGTATCGAATCAATATTATAGAAAATTATAAGATTTAATTTTAATAAAAAAATTTAACGTAGCATTTTATTTTGTTAAGACATTTGTCATATATTAGGTACCTTTAATTAATCACTATTGTTTATTATTTATCCCAAAAGCAAACCGGTTTATTATAAAGCAAGTGGGCCATCGGGTTTAAATGACCATGTACATTGATCCGAAAGGGCAGATACCTTATATATACTTCTGCACAAAATGGTACGTTGAGGACATTTGTCATAAATCTTGGTTATATTTTATTTTGTAAAGAAACAAGTTTCAAGAATAAATTAATAAGAAATTCTTAAATCATTTGTTAATGTTATATAACTTAAAAAATCAATAGAAAACGATCGGGAGAAACAATTAAAAATTTTAACACTAATCTTAATCACTTCAATCGTATATAATAAATCACACCGATTACGCGAAAGATTAATATCATTAAAAACACAGTTTTTAAGATTTATTAAAGAATTTTAAAAAACTTTTTATTACACCTTAAAAGCTTTTAATGCAATGAATATAATTACATATAGAGAGAAAAATTTTCCTTTAATTAGGGTGAAAAAAAACAATGAACCTTGATTATAGTGATAGTAAGCCGGCTTATCATGAAACAAACCAGGAAAATCGAATCGCGTGACTTCAGAAACTTGTTGATATGCAACTTTTTTTTCGTTTCTAAAAGCAATTACCCCCTAGAGAGGGGAACGAATATACTAGGAATACTAGAATAATATGGGGTGAATTTTAGGTAGTCATTAATGACTACCTAAATTTATTTTAATAATTCAGTTATAAAAATAAATCCAACAAAAAAAATATAAAAATGAAATTAAATTAAAACGCAAAAATTACAAGGAAATTGATTCAAACCATTATTATACAGGTTTTATTAATTGCACTTTGAACGAAAATTAATCGAAACACTCAAACAAAAACTGTATAGATCACATTAAAAAAAATTTAAATTAACAACCCACACGTCATAAACTAATAACTTTCAACGATATTTACCGTAACTTTTCCATTTTACTATTTTTTTCCGCAGAGGCATCGTTTAAAAGAAAAGAAAACACTTGAATCTGAGGAAAACGTTATCACATCGTACGTAGCTACTGGTTGACTGAAACGTTGTGCTTTCGTTCGATTTCGTTTAATAGTTCAGAAGCAAAAACCTTGTTTTTTTTTCTCAAGGATTTTTACACGATATCAAGGAAACGATAAAGCATTTCATTCGTAAATAGTAAATTAACGGTAGATAACGTCGATTTCACGCGAAATTAAGACGTTTGTTTCTAAATGTTTAAATATAACTTAATTGAACGTCATCTTAACGCAAAAATTGATGAAGTAGTAAAATGTTCGAATAATCAAAAAAATATTTTGGAATCAAATTTAAATTGTTTTTTTCGATGAGGAAAATTACCACCGGTTAAGTCAATTATTTTTAATTTTTTTCTCATCACTCAACTTATTTACACCATTAATTATAAAATTAATAGAAACTCAAACGTCAGAAAAGAGCAATTACTGTAAGTTAAACAAGTGGAGAAATGTTAACTGTTGGAATTTTGCAATTTTGTTTATTTAAAGATTACAACTATCACATACACGTTCTATAATAATAGATGTTGACAATGACAGCTTTAATTACGATTGATGAATCATTGGTAACTCTAGCTGGATACTAATTTTAGGTCGATGTATAATATGCAAAATGCATTTAAATTCCAATTGTAATTTAGTGTAATTATCTCTAATGCATCTACATAAACAAGTTATATTGAATTATTAGAAAAATTTTACCATATTATTTACTAAACAGAAGTGATTAGTTTTGATCGAGTAAATTATATTATAATTTCTTTAATGTTGCTTATTAAAATTATATATCAAGTTTCTACATAAAAACATAGGCGGATCGTTAAGAAAACTGAATCATTGCACGTAAGTACAGGATAATAAACGACATGTTTATTTTTGTATCTTAAAACTTTGTAATGTGAACCCCATGATTGTTCAGACACTGCTGCGAGCAAAATCCCAAGTTTTGAGTAACCCTTTTCAGCATTCCTTTATTAGAAATTAGATTATTTATTAGATTATTTATTCCTTTATTATTTTTGCCTTTATTAGAAAATAAGCTTAATTGTACAAAAAAAAACATACAAAAGAAAATAGGCGAGTTCCAGGTTGTACTAGTTAGTACAGCTGCTCTAACTAACCTAAGAAACAAAAAAAGAAAAACATGACTCGGCCAAAAATTACAAAGCAACAGCTAGATACAACAACAAGATTGCAAAACATGTCAGATCAGCGTTTGCCCCCATGTAGACATTGTTCAAGAAAACAAGAATATTTCTGTGTAAATTTAAACCTTCGTAGTGAGAACCCCTTGCAATTATCGTCCACCTCATTATATTTCGAAGTTATTTGAAATATGTATGATCTCTGAAACAAAGACAAACGATAGAAGGGTGGCGACAGTCTTCCGCGAAATCGCGTATTTATTCGGTGGACATCATTTCGGAAAGTTATCAGTTGGTAGAGATACTGTGGTTCCTTGTAGTTTATAATTTTATGGTATAGGCACAAACACTGCACTTTCCTACGATGATACATATTTAGCCATCCCGCATCCTTCAGTTTATAAGATATTCTGTTATATTTTCTAATTCCATATATATACCGAAGACACGAATTTTGCACTCGTTGAATACGTGTTACATCGCTAACGTCAATGCACGGATGGTAGACCTCAGCACAATAAGTGAATTGAGCCAACACAGAGGCTTCGCACAACACCTTTTTCAGATGAATACCAAGGTAGTGTCGATGAGGAAACAACATCCTCAGATGATAATAAGCCCTGGATATACAGTTGGAGACATGCTTCTTATAGCGAAAACTGTTGTCCATAATCATACCCAAATTCTTTACCTCACTAACCAAAGGAATGTTACAACCATCAATTTGCAAATCAATACTTTCCCGAAAACCATTACATATAGCGGAATTTCCAAAAAGTATAGCATTGGATTTACTCGGATTAAGATGTAGACCGTATTCCCGAGCCACTTTATGAATGTAATCAAGGTCTTTTTGCATATTCGTAATACCCAACGCGAAGTCGCGTGGATCAAAGGAAACATACATCTGCAAGTCATCCGCATACATATGGTACTCACAATGATTTAACCCCCTAACGATTTGAGATGTATATAAAGAAAATAGAATAGGCCCTAAAATAGTACCTTGTGGTACACCCTTGCTCAAACAGCGAAATTCAGACAAAGCATCACCGATTCTAACCGACTGATGCCTATTACTTAAATAATTTTCAATTAAGTTTAAAGCGGATTCACTGAAGCCAATATACTTTAACAATTCCACAAGCAAGTCATGACAAACACTATCAAAAGCTCTACTAAAATCCAACAAGACTACCAACGTACATAATCCTTTATCTCGAGCCTGTAAAATATCATTAGTTACCTTGAGAAGAGCAGTACCGCAGCTATGGTTTCTACGAAAACCAGATTGATGCTTCGGTAAAATATTATTAATTTGAACAAATTGATGCAACTGATTAAACATAATTCTTTCCAGAACTTTAGATAAAATTGGCAATATGCTAATCGGCCGCAGATCTTTAGGCTCAGATGGGTCACGTTTTTTTGGGATAGGAACCACAATTGACAACTTCCAACAGTCAGGTACATCCGAAGTTTCAATGCAAACATTGAGTAAATGTGTCAAGTAGGGTAATATAAATGGAAGACACATATTCAACATACTCATACTGATATTATCAGCACCGGCAGCTCTAGAAGAAATTGAGGAAATAGCTTTTATTACATCAGCTTCGGATACAAAGACAAACTTAAAATTAGTTTGAATCAAATTTAAAGGCGGTAAGTCATTAAAACTGAAACGCGTTGCAAGGTTCAAAGAAGGGACTGAATCAATAAAGAAATCGTTAACCTCATCTGGTCGATTCAAGTGAGCAGGGATTTGCTGTGAACATTTCGTACCACAAATACCCAAATGATTCAATTGTTTCCACAGTTCAGCACCCCGAGACGTCTGATATAAAAATTCCAGATATGATTTTCTTTCTCTTCTAATGCAGGTTGTAGTAAAATTCCTCAGCTCCTTATAAGCAACCCAATCAGCACCTGAACGAGTACGCTTGTATTTATTCTTTGCCCTATCACGTTCGTCCATAAGCAATTTAATATTTGGTGTTAACCAAGGTACGACCTTTTTGGTAAACCTCCTTACGGTTAAAGGGGCATGTCTGTCAAATAAAGCCAGCAGCAAGTTATTAAAGTTTTGAACTTTACAATTAATGTTATCCATGAAAAATATTTTGTGAAAAGGCACCGATTGCAGATCGCTAATGAAAGCACACTCATCGACACCACGCAGCATACGCACGGTTAATAACCGAGGAGGAATCTTAGGTACTTTCAAATCTATTTCGCAAAAAATCAAATCATGATCAGACAAATCACACGGCAATACGCCACTAATACTCACCAAACGACAGCAAGATGTGACGATGACATCCAACAATGTCATAACAGCATTGGTCACACGAGTCGGATCACCTATTAGTTGCACAGCCGAGCATACATCCAAGAATTCATGAAACAGGTTAATAAATGGACCATCCACGTTCAGAAGATCGATGTTCAGGTCACCCAAACAAAAAATGTTTTCGGTTTCAGCAACACAAGTAGTGTATACTTCCTCAACACTACTCAAAAAGTCTCTACAATTAATGTGAGGCGGTCTGTATATCCCACCGACAAAAATAGAGGACTTAGGAAAGAAAAATTGAAGCCAGACCTGCTCAATATCACCACCAACCGCAATAGGTTTATAGTCAAAGTAATCACGGAAGACTATCGCAACACCCCCACCACGATCAGTCCTATCAAATCTGACAATTCTATAACCATCAAATCCAAAATCGTACTCAGTATTTGGAGTCAACCACGTTTCGGTCAAAACCAAAACATCAAAATGATTGTCACATAATATAGTTTTAACATCTACTAATTTAGGCAAAAGCGATCTGACATTCAAATGTGCAAGGCGTATCAAATACATACTAATAATTAACTAAAGTTATTCTATATACAGACAAAATTAAAAAAAGAAAAAAACAAAATAAAGAACAAAGAGAGACACGAAATACCTAGTCTCCACTCCTTTGGTAAACATGCTAATCGCTAAGGGATATCAAGTACCGATGGAACATTGCCCTCAAAACCTACAATATTATTCGCGCTGTGTGAACTATCTTATTAAAGATAGTCTCCAAATGAAATTCTTTCCAGTTATATTCACATATCACTCAGAATGAATAGTAACTGTATGATCTTCCTTCCTTAAACATAAGGTTCAATCATCCCTATTCGTGAAAACTGTACTAGTTCTTCCTTAAATTGTTTTCACTCCAATACTGCAGGTTCCACTTGTTTCACTTCTAAAAAGATGGAATATATTTCAGTTTCTCCAAGAATTTAACAATAACTGCGATTAAAGAGCTGCAGACCAATCGCATGTTTACCAAAGGATCGTTAACCCATTTAGGTTCCCTTAATGATTTTTTTTTAATATTTAAAAGTATTGATTTTGAATAAGAGAAATACTATTCGTTTAAGAAGGATTTTAGCACGCTTATGCATTTTTTTATGGTAGATAATTCAACTGTTAAGCGTAAATATAAATTAACAAAAATGATCAAATTTTTAAGATGGTAATATGCATTTAAAAATATTGTAAAAAAAATCTCTTACTATAATTTTTCTTAATCCTGAATTATTTTCATATGCAGCTCACTTCACAGAACAAGAATGTTGATGAATACCTAATTATTTTTAATAAATCTAGTTTCCAAATGACTTTGAAGTTGACCATTGCGATAACGCAACATTGGGTTCTAGTACCTACCACTAGCTATACATATAAATTGCATTCGTAAACTTGTATGAATTTGTTCTTGTAACTGGAAACTGATGGTTAGGGTGGCATTGAAAGTATTAAATAAATAAAAATTAAAAATTACTATTTATACAAAAAAAAATTAATAAAAATTAAA